CAAACCTATCCACGCATGATGTTTTTTGCTTACGCCTTAACTTGACTGTTCGATGCACGATTGTGAACTCACTATTCACCAGCTTGCTGTATATATTGCAGTGAAATGCATTAATTAACAAGTCAGCGCTGCAAATGACGAAATGTTTCTACAAGCTGACTAATAGACCTCCCGAACATGGACCTTTTCTAATAATCACAAAACAAAGCAGACACAAGAAAACCTGGACGCAGGAGACTCTCTTACGTTAGACTAATCCGCATGTGCGTCGAAACCGTTTGCTTCCAAATGGCTCAAAACAGGGCGTGTTGTAAAATATTTACCAGCTAAATTTACCTCAGTGGAATATCATTATGACCCGTTCGAAAAATGCAACACCTTCCATCCTCAGGGTAAAAAACTATTAAGGACTTTCCAAGATAGTATCTGGTTTGCCATTTTAATGTTCTGAGACGTAGGTCGTAGCAACGGTTCACTTGCCATTACCTTTCATCTTCCTCATAGTAAACGTGTGCCTTACCCACGGAATGCAGCATTTCTTGAAACTCTCTTCACAAATCTCCCTCGGCTAAACTTTATGCAGAATTTGAATTATGCGAGCTTCCAGCTTATATGCGTGTCTATCCGGGTTATTCACTTTAATGCACAGTTTAAATTTTAGCATGAAATTTCAGCCCGGGGAACATACTTCATCCAGTCGCTCGCTCCACCCCCTGGCCAAATGACAATGTTGATTTGGTACTTGATGACCTTCCTTGAGAGACAAAATATTCACCTTTTGTGAACTAAATGTTCCATTTCTGGTCCTCTTCTATTGTGGCATCTCACAAAATTAATTGCAGCTTAACAAAGGAGCTTTAATTGAACCCTTGGGATTCGAATGGATGGAACTCACTGTTTTCCAATTTAAGCACTATTAGTTTGTCCCAGCGTTTTTGCAGTAAATGCAGTCCCAACAATCACTGCAAAAAACCAGCATCCGTTTCTGGCAATAATTACAAAACATGAAAAATCTGCAGTTCTGTCACCCGATGCTGTGTTACTAAGCCTATAAGTCCTTTGCTCTATTTTGAGTTACGAAATGATTTACTCTGTTATATCCTATGAGGCAATACCAGAGAAATTTTGACATTGCTATTTTGTTAATTTCGTAGTTGGTCATTTGAAGGACATTGACAGTGTCCCGTCACCACCTTCGAAACCCCTAATACTTCCCAACGAGAAACCTCCACTGAAGCCGCCGGAGTTGATGACTCCACTAACCAAAAGCGCTATTGAGCAAACTTTCCAACCACGCGTCGCGCCCTCCGGCTCTCCCGGTACGCGCCACTTCTATGCAATGGGTCAGCGACCGGATCCCTACCGAAACCTCCCACCCCCCATTGATGCAAGATTTGGCTTGCCTCGTCAAATGACCCCTCAATTTAACACTTATCGTAGGGACCCCGCAGTCTGACTTATTCCTTCAGTATCAAATACCAACCTTATTCACACTGACTTTCCCATATTTCAATATCTTCCGGCTTTCATATTATCTTACCCCGAATGCACTTCAAAATATTAGCTTTCAGTGATGGGCAATAGCCATTATGAGAAGATATTAACTTGGCATGGCAAATGGTTACTTATGTTTTATGCATCGTGTAAAATAAACATTCCCAAATGGCTACGGACCAAATTTGAATCACATGATGGGTTTAACGCATTGGCATTCGATGGACATGTCGAGATTCGTGAGCTCTCCTCGCACTACCAGTTGACAGCACACTTCCTCCTGTTCACCTCCTCAGATTGTGCATAAAGGCCATTGGAGTGCAACAACCTCCACGAGCGCTCGATGTTAAATTTCTGCCCAAGTATTCGTTAAGCGCAACTCTATTTTTACATAATATGTTCATCTTAAGGGTTTCATAGAACATCACAATTTTTTAACTGAGTTCTAAACCCTCAGCATAGGCAGAAGTTTGTCACAGAAAGGAGTCTTTGGCAAAAGCGTTTTCGAAATCTCTCCTCCGAGCACCAAATCACACAAACGGATTGGTCCTCACCTACAGGAAAGGCTTTGCCTTTACATTTACTTAGAACCTGGTTGCATCTTAACGGATCTACGAGTGGGACATCATTTCACTCAATAGCTAAGTCGTAGTTAGAAGGGCGATAAGTTCTTAAAATTACAAGCATAAAATAAAGTGAATTAGTTGGGATTCGAGAAGCGCTGAATAAATGCTAGAGTCAGCGCATCTATCACACCGCGCACATCTCGGTAAGGCAGGAAGCCATTCGCTGTTATTCTGTGCTGCCTCCACAAATAGCTCTTTAATAGCACAATTCCAGTGAAGTAGTTTTGCTGTTCCGTAATTATTGGCCACTGTTGGTTTGTGAAGTGCGAATTGTCAATTTATTTGCATATCGGTGGTGCTCTTAACGATAAATTCGTGGTGCGATGCCTTGGACGTGGATTCGGGTTCGAATTTCTGCAAACGCGTTGGCATAACTTCATTGGCTAACCTAACAATGTGCCAAATATAGTTGCATTAGTTTTGTCCCAGAATGCTTAGCATTTAGAGAACAGCTACGCACTGTGGCCAAGGGAAACCTATGCAATTTTCATGTAGTGTGCTTCTAAAGGCCGGTGGACTTTTCCCGGAAGCTACGCATACGCACTACTTTTTGCTATTATCTAACAATGCCTTTTCAGAGTTACTACACTTAACTCAAAGTAGAGCAAAACGATTTCGTGCACTGTAACACGGTTTAACCAAGCGCATTGAAACCAAATCCCCAAGGTGGACCTAAAAATATATTAACAGGGACTCTTCCTTCAAGGATTGGAGAGACATTGTAAGTGTAAATTTGGTTCAGATAAACACTTTTGAAAGGTCTTTGAACATCCAAAGCCCAAGCCTTGTCTGTTTACTTGGAAGTTAATGGCGTTCAACGAAATTTGTAGACGCAGCTATATAATATTTCTACCTGATGCAAAGTTGTGTATCGGTGCTCGTTCCAAAATTTTACCTTTCTGACTGGGTGGCAACGTGTGCGCACTCCATTTCGGTTCATTAAAACGCTACTGCACTTCAGTTTCCAGTCGCTCATTAATCTAACAAACAATTGTAGCTGTCCACATTCACGAATCAACGCTTTTGTATTTTATTTGCGCATGTAGGATTGAACACAACGTCGTTCTATCCTTTGTTAGTGTTCCATCAGTGTGCTTTTAGAGTCATTCTCCTGTCCTTCGAAAAGCCAAAACGAGGGGTGTCTACTGACATTTATTCGTTTTCTTTATGTGTATTTAATTATACCTTGACATTTGTCACCAATTTCTTAGGAAACAAATTTGCTTTGTGAAACTCTTTGCTTTACTATGTGTTAATGGACTTGTAAGACGGGATTGTGAGACTGATCCAAATAAGTACACTGTACCCGTCTCCCAGAGGTGCGGTCTATCTCGGGTATTTGGTGTTATTTTGGATTTTAGCAAAACTATTTAACCTAAAGTCAACTCTTTTGGTGAAAAAGTAGCTCGGCAAATCGCAAACAGTTTTTTGCCTTGGAAGCTTTTTCCATTTGATGTGATAACTCGATTTAAGGCATTAGCGATGAATGAACGATTCAGAAAGAAAGATGAAAGACCTTAATCGCCTTTGGTAAAAATACTTGTTGCCCAGCCATCTGACTCGACTCGCGGCACGACACAGTGCTGTCCACTCCAGATTACGTCACTTCAGCAACATATCGAGGAAAGCCACACATAAGATGGGTAATTTGTGGCAATACGGGGTAAAGCGCAAAGGAAGTAGTACACGAGACCTCCGGAATGCCGCGGATCGAACACCCACCTAAAACCTCCAATGGATCCATTTGGATGTTAAGAGTTAAAAAAAATTGACAACACAGAAACAGCAATACGAGTGCAACGGAATCGCTTAAGTTTCCACGCCTTTCACGGCATTCCTCTGTGAGCACAAAACTCTCTCTTTAGTCCACCAATGTGTTTAATGCCTGGTATTCCCTAA